GGGACCCAAAAATACGAAGACCAATACCAATTTAGAACCTGAAAATATGGAAGCTTATACCAAACCGGAGCCCAAAAATGCAGAAGCCAATGCTCAGGATAATATCACTAACCAATCATTAAACGATAGCCAAGGCTACCAAAATGTTTATGAAGAAATTTCTAGTGATTAAAAAGACAATGAGATATCAGATAGCACACACTCTATACAAATAGATTTAATATAATAGATGATTATTAATACAAAACTTTTCATTAATTTATTTTTTTTTTCAATTCTCATTATTTTTTTTTATAATTTTTACCCCTGAGTATTTCTCCTTTACTGATTGATTTAATGTAATTTCTCTTTTTAATATTATCAATAAAACTTAATAAAAATATTATCACTAACTTCTTAGACTACAATTAAAAAAAAATAAATATAAATAAGAAGGATTCGATAAATAAATCAAAAAGAAATAAAAAAAAACAACTTAAAATAAATAAAAAAATTATACTAGTATACAAATGTATTGCCATAATATATAAGCCTTCGAACATAAAAAAAAACTCAAATTATATTATTCATCAATATTCTATTCACGAGTACGAAAGCAATGTTCCATCTAACTCAGTTGAAACAAATCATAATGAACAAAATACTATTGTATTCCAATCTTATATTTATCATAATAAAATAAATCAGTTTAGCATAACTGATCCCATACCACCATTACAACTTAACCCTCCTACAATCCTAGCTGTAATATTCCTACTATAGACCCATCTTTCACATTAAAAAAACTTCTATACAAATTTGAAACAAAAATATTACAATATCATTCCCAAATTCCTTGCTGCTACTGTTCAGTTTTAATATTTCTTTTTGCGACTCAATGGATAACATATAACTTGGATGAAGACTACACTCTACCTATAACATTTCTCAACATTTTTTTTAAACTACATCACTTTACAAACAAACCCACTAAAGTAGCCTTCTGCAGTAGCTGTAAAAAGCCAAAAACAAGAAAGTTTCCAACCATTCTACTCAATATACCTAATGAAATAAGTTTAGTACCAATGTATAACAGAAAATATCTTTTACCAATTTATATAACATGTTTATTAGGTCATACTCCAGGATCAAATCCCTATACAACATATTGATTCCTACAAGACAATTTTTTTCTAAGTAAAAATAGTTATCTGATACCCTACTATGATCGGAACTATCAAATAACTCGAGTTATTTGATACATGATACACTTAAAATAGTTCTCACAGTTTGTTTTGACTAATTTTTTTTAATTCATCTTTATACGCAAGCTAAGTATTTTATTTAATTGTTATTTATTTGATTC